CTGAAACTACTTGGATTAAGTCAAAAGTCTTTCTCTTTCAATCTTATGGCATAAATCCCAGGCTATCCACCAGGAGACCCTTACTATTGGTAAAATGCCTTCCAGGAGCTAAGTCTTTTAGGGAGGAAAGTTTGTCCAGAACTGCAAGAGAGGGAGACATCCTCAGCTGTTATGGCCGTTGCTGCAGTAAAGATTGTATCTCAAGACAAAAGAAGGCAAGAAAAGGATATTTCTAGGCAAGCAAGATCCCAGATGAAAGGCTGGTTCTAAGTTCAGTTTGTACGAAAATGATAGCAACGTGTGCAACAGAAAAATCCTCATCCTCTACCACTGACGGCTAAAAAGAACTTGTTGCTTCTGAATGTAGATGCTAAATAAGCCTAGACTTGATCAGTGTTTGCACATGAAGACACCACAAGGTTAACTGAAGAAGCCAAGAATAGGCATTAGAAGCCAGGAAATGTTGATTTGGGAAAAAAAAAAAGTGGAGGGGGGAAAAGGAAAATCACAACATAAAAAGCTACGGGGCAGCTTTGAGCTGGCAAAGGAGAAACGAGGAGAATTTCGTTCTGCTGATTCATGGATATAGACAACTACTCAGCTGTGTGCTGCTGACTTTGCTGTCTGTTTACAGGGATTTCCCTTCTATCAGCCATGGGGCAGCTGGGCCTTAGTGAAAAGAAGAACCACACAGTTTTATCACATGCCAGTGGTAGAGGCAGGCTGCACAACGAGCTGCTTTCTTCTAGCACTGAAGAAGGATCTTTAGTCAAACAGAAAACAACAGCATCTTAAAAACACTCTATTTCCTCTTCTGGCAGTAACTCTAAAAGGGTCGGGCTGTCTGGGAACAGCCGAGACAGAATTATTAGCTTAGGCATTTTGGGTGCACAAGCTCAGCTCACAACTTCCAATTCCCAGAGTTTTCAAAGCCTGTGACATGGATTCACATGCCTTTTGAGTGGAGGAAGTGCTCACCGGACCTGTCTTACTTGTGGAAGATGAAAGGAAAGATGGCATCTTTCTATTTTGCTGCAAATAAACCCCATTTCAGGAGACAGACTCTAGAAAACTTGGATTTCTCAAAAATATGAAGTCTGGGATGGCCAAGGAGGGGAGCTGCTCTTCACTCTCCAGGGCCTTTTTTCTTGCCCTCATGTAGGAAAGCAAATGACTCCCAAAGTAGTTTCCCTATCTCCTTCATAAGCCACAGCATGAGTATGACAGAGCATGGGTCTGAGAAGCCATTCCATGGATATGTCATCAGGACTGCATTAGCCAAAGTTTCTTTCCTTGTTTAACTTTCCAAAGAAACTTTTCAAAGTTTCCTTGCCTCCATTTAGCTGATGACACATTGTTAGCCAAATCTCAGGCCTTTTATGTTCCTGTGAAACTAGTAACATTAAACAGGGCTTAGCCTTCCCAGTAAGAGGCCAAATCCCCGCTCCCTTCCCTTCTCTTTTGGAAGCAGGCAATATCTCCTTGTGTGTGGGTAAAACTCAGCTCATGGCAGTTTTGCTCAGCTGATTGAGCCTGTTGCTTGGGCTCTAGGGTGCGTGACTGCTGATGTGTTTGGCAACCTCTTTAACTGGCTCCTTCCCCAGCGGGGCGCAGAGGATGTGTCAGGAGGGATGTGAGATTTCACACGTCCTCGTCCCTCACAGCTCAAGGGAAGAAACGCTGCATTCGGTCAGATCCCATTTGTGAGACACCTCATCAAGAGATGGACACCAGAGAGCATCCTGCAGGCTGTCTCCAGGGATGATTTTGAAGAGTGGAGGTCTCAAGGGAAGGGGTCAGGCACGTTTTTGTAGTCTGAGCTATAGTTACTTGGCTGCAAGTATTGAGCAAAGTAGTTTTTTAACACAGCACTCAAGAGCTGTGCTCCATTGCTCGCTAATGGTCTCAAGGGATAGCCAGGTGGGTCTCCTACTCATGTTCATGGACTTTGAGTCCCTGCAAAGCTGTAATACAGACAGACTTTATCTCAGCAGACGGACCATAAATACCTCCCTCTCTTGGTCATGGGCACATGCGTGGCTGTTTCTCAATAACCTGGCGGGATGTCTGGCTGTTGCTTTCCCCTGGGGAGGCCTGGACCATGCCAAGGCGCACAGCAGGTTGCTCATGTGCCATCACCTGTGCTCCTGGGGTACAGCTGGGGCTGTAGGGATGAATGTGCTTGTGCCCCCATCTAGTGGTTGTCCCCAAGCCTGCAGCACATCCCCTCCTGTTCCTCAGGTGCCACTCAGCTTGAGGATGAGGGTGGGAAGGCAAAAGGATTCTGATGTTCATGGTCTTGGGGTGTCACTAGGCTTAGGGTTGTGCATGTCCCTTTGCCATGCAGCTTTCTGACACATTTCCCAGTGACAAGCTAAGTACACATAAAATTCATGTTTGGATAAAGAATTGAAACCTGATAGTCTCCTATTCTTATCCAGGTTCCCAACACCTCGTCTAGTGCTGGAGAAAGTGTTGTTACCATAAGTCCTTCATCCTGGCTAGAATTACAAAAAAAAATTAAGGGGAGAAAAGACTTTGGTGGGGATAAATCATGTTTTCCCTGACTCTTTTGCTGTTTTTGCACAAGAAAAGCAAGAAAAGGATTTTTTTTTTCAATCTGTTTACAAAACAAAAAGTCACCCCAAACCACCACCATATGGTAGGTCCAGATTTGAGATTCTTCCCAAGGCACAAAAGGGATTTTCAGACAGAGATTACGTCATTTGAAGTGGAAGTGGAAGCTGCCTGTAAATGTTTGACCATTCTGCCAAAGGCTGAGACGCAAGATGATGTGAACTTGGTGACAAACATAGCCGGAATATTCTGACGAACCTGAGATATCCAAACAGTCATCTCCTTCTCAGACAAACAAGTAATACTCATCAACTCTGGTGGTAACATAAAGGCTCTCTATTTCCTTTAAGTATTTTTACTGCTCCTGTTACAGCATTATCTCAACACTATTATCTTCTTTTCTGTGTTTCCTCCCACAACTCCTTAGTCAGGCAGGATGCCAGCATTACTCCTATTTGTGTGATGGGAAAAAGCGCACAGAGAGACTTACCAAAGATCCCAGAAGAAATAAGCAGCAAAATAGAGAAGCAGACTTTGAACTCTGCTTGCCATTGAGTTGTCTTAGGCATATCCATAAAAATTCCCCCTTATCCCTAGAACCCAATAAGACAGAGTGGTCACGGCTGAAGGCCACTGAGCATCAGAGTACTGCTCAAATACTTTCACCATTGAGGTGAAATCATGTCTGGCACTCATCAGTTTTCTTGGTACTTTACCTTGTATGATGCCTATTGCGCTGCCTGGAAATCAGTCTCCTAAGAAAGTGGTGGCAGCAGCTAGGAAAAGAGACCAGGAAGTCCCCTCAGGGCATTACCTGAACTGAGTTGCCCCAGACAGATTTCCTCAAGTGGTTACAGAAATGATTTCTGATAGTGACTTAAAAGCTCTGGGAAAAGAAATAAAATAATATATTCTTTTGCTCTCTGTCCCTTCCTTCTCTGTTTCCCATACTATAAAAATAGCAAGCTCCTGCAGATCTCAATTTTGCACAGTGAATAAATGTATTTCAGGTGCATCTCCTTTCTTGTTTTCTTTTTCACGACATTCCTAGAGTGTTTTGGAGGTATAACATCATTTCTATGGAGAAAGCTCAAGTTGAATGAAGTCTTTCTGATATATCACAGCTTATGTTAGTAAGTATAACTCCTTGTGTTTAAGGCTGCTGATCAGGACATGCTGGAGTGGATCAGGAGTGCCTGTCACTTAAATGCAGTGTCAAGATCAGTGCTCAACAGCTGAAGGTGGTCCTAGTGTTATCCCTGATTTTTGGTCTAAGAGCTGAGGGCAAAGCAAGCCATCAAAGACCATGTATCATTTGCATTTTTTTTTTTTTTTTTTTTTTTTCCCCAAACATTTCTTGCCCTGTAAAGTTCTTTTTGGATGTTTTGTAGTAATCTGTTCAGGGACTTGTCCAGAAGCTCCTCTGCTTTCTTGGTGTAGATGTTGGTACGCTTTCTGCAGCAAGGTTGCTCTATACAATACCTCATCAGCGAATAACTCCAAAATGGCCATTCCAGGATAGGTCAAAGGTCTATCTGAATCCCATGTCCCTTCTGCAGTAGTACTGGAACTGTATGCAAGTGAAACACAAAGCAAGCACCCATTCATGCAAGAATAAAATGGCTGTGGTTAATGAATTCTGGTGTATTTTCCGTGTGAAGTGTTCCCATCTACTGCACTTTATGGCACAGTTTAACTTTGTAGGGATTAGGTCCACCTGCTTCTGTTTGTTTTGAACCATTATCTACTAGTTCCATCACTGAATTTCTTAAGAAGGAACGTTGAGCAATCATTCCCTTTTCACCTCTTTCAGTCCATTTGTGATTTCTAGATGCCTGTCTTCCCCCCACTTACAACATCCCATTGCTGGCTGGAAAACCCTATTCTACCTAACTTCTTGTCATGCACAGTTGGATCCGTAACTCAGACCTCCTAATCACTCTTTTTTTTCTTTTTTTTTTTTTTTTTTGTTCTGTACCTTTTCCAGCTCCATTGGTCTTTTTTGAGTAAAAGAATTTTGCTTAATATTCAAGATGTGGAAAGGATATGGATATTTATGACATCTAGCCTTCCTTCTACTTCACAAACAAGGTAAGCATAGGTAGCAGTTGTGCGATCTAGGTCGAATATACAGAAGCTGGATGTCAAAACCTGAGTCTTCTTTTATATGGAGAAGCAATCCCCTCTAGAGGTGATTCACATCAGCCCTAGCAGAGGCTCAAAGCAGGGCAGATGAATCACTCTCGAGAAGACTGTATTATTCTCCACTAACTGTCAAGGAAGTTTGGACTGACAAGTTGAGGCAGAGACATCCCAGACTTAGATGTCTTTTGCAGTCAAGTTACATATCACTGAATAAGGTCTATCTGAACTGAATTTTGCCTTTGTTTCTGACTCCTTTTATTTCAAGCAATCCTCATCTGCTCTGTCATTCTGCAAACCTTCAGCCTGACACCAGATCCCTTTTCTCAGCTCTTGCTGGTAGATTTTGTGTTTATTTTTTTCTGATGTTTTGGAGATAGATTTTCCTCCTAGTGCAGCTCTTTCCACCTTTTCTTGGTATTCTTTTCTTGCACAAGTTTTTCCACAAATCTGGCAACCCTTCCCATTCCTCCAATGTCCTTCTTCACCATCCACTTTGAGTTGTCCCCAGACCTCTTGTCCTTTTCTCCAAGTTCTCACAAGAGGAGATTAGAGTGATGATTAGTCTCTACTGTGCTCTGTTTACAGGCCTTTTTCTCCCATCAAGAGCAAACAGCACTGGATAATGCCTCCCAGAAAGGTACTCAGAGTTAAATCATCCAGTCACCAGGTTTCTCAGGCATGGTGGGGAGAAGGATGCCTCAGGGTATCCATTTCACCGTCCTCCTCTCTTCCGAGAAACCCTCTTGGCAAACACTCTCCATTTCAAAGAGTAATAAACAAGCTCTCTTGGATGTAGGCTGGTTTACAGTGGGTCTGGAAGAGAGAAGAAAGGAAACTGTTTTCCAAGCCCTGCAGCGATCCCAGATTTGATAAACCCACTCTTTCCCTTTCCTCTCCCTCACCTCCCAGGGGTACAACTCATGTATTTATGAATGCAAATGCTTCTTGGGTCAAAAGCAGGTCAGAAAATGCTGTGAGGACAGGATAACACATCCTCTGTTCCACCAAGGAACATATTGCAATTCCCCGTTTCACCAGCGCACATATTGCAACACACAAAAAAATAGAGCCTGTGACCCTTAAGTGCCCCATTCTCACCCTCCACCCTCTCATCCCATCTCTCCATTTGCTTCTCCAGCTTGTGTCCCACCCTGGCTCACAGAGGGCTGGACATGATGAACTCATGGAGGCTGAAAAAATCAATATCAGACTGATCTGCCACGCAGTGCTGGAACTGTGTTTCTAAAAATGGCCATGGTTATATAATACCGGGGGGGTGGCGGGAGGAGGAAGAAAGGATGGAAAAACACCAATAAAAGCTAACGCTGCTCTCATTGGCCCTGGCTCGCTGCTGTGACAGAGAGGTTTCTCCGGAGATGTACAAAGTCACTGGGAGCCCTCTGTGATCACATGCATGTGGTGCCAGTGGCTTTTGGAAGGGAAAACACAATTCTCTTCGCTGCCCAAGGCACGATGCCAGGTTGAGGCACTGCTTTGGCTCCTCATTCACCTGTCTAAAATCCTCTTGAAGTTGCTGGGGATCATTTTGGCTATTATTTTGTTGCCTCTCAGAGTGCAGAGTAGGTAGTCAAGGTCTGGTATCCCTGGGCAGAGAGCAATCCAAGCCCTTTCTTGTTTCTCTTGGTTGCCACAATCATCCCAGTGAGTAAATGAGGTCCCTTCACAGCACAAATAGTTCTGTGGGCTCCAGAAGACACACTGGCAGAGTTTGTATTTTAAGGTAAAATCCAGAGAAACCCCTCCAGATCCAAGCCGGTTTCCTTGTCTTTGTGTTGCAGTCCAAATACAACCCTACGTAATTCCATTTTTCTGACTGCCCCAGGGGTGATGGCATCTTATTAACTAATTGGCCCTCATGGCAGTCCCGTGTTGCATCTAATTCAGGCCAGGGGGAGGGAAAAGCCAATTTCCATCATCACCCAGGGAGTCAGTGGCAAATGGGAAGCATGGATACACCCTCTCCAGCTGGCAGGTTTCCACAGATCTTCCTTCTGCTTATGGTGCCCTGAGGCATCACTCAATTCATGCAACAAAGTCAAATACAGTTTTTTGAGATCCAGGCTCATGCTCAGCCCTCTGCATGGATTTTCTAGGAAGTACCACCCGGATGCAGGACATTTGTACATTAATTATTCTTTTATCCTGGGTGACCAGCAGCCTCCTGATCACTAAGTACTGATGCTATTTATATTCTGACTGCTGTGCTAAGAAGTGTTGTGCTGACCTAGCTACCCTCCTTACTGGAGATAATGATTAGATAACCTAACTTATCATCTTGCTTCCTGCTTTTAAAACTCAGAAACGTATTTAAGCACTGGCACCTGTAAGGACACGGTTTGTAGTTGCCTTAACAGATCCTTTAAGAACTACCTTGTAAGTAATACAAGAAATCCAAATCCTTCTGTCTCTGCTTGTTTTCTGCTGAGCAATAGCTAACACAGATCACTCTTAATGTAATTTCCAACCTGGACTGCACTTAAGACTGCCCTGAAAGGAACAGATGTGTGTGTAAAAGTTTGGAATAGAGTTGGCTGCTTAGAAAAAGGTGATATAGAAATAATATGGAAAAAAATACAAGTGATAGAAAATATCCACTTCAGAGATCAAGCTCGTAGGGGAAATTCATCTTCCATAATATGGAATTGTCTGCCATCACTTCTGCCTCATTCAGCAACATTGACCCATTCTTGCAGAACGTTTCATTATATGCATGGAAGAGGAAAGTTTTGCAGTAGAAGAAACTGAAGACCATACCCTGTTTTATGAAGAAACCAAGTTAAAATTCCTCTATCATCTTCACATCTTCCATGTCCCAGTTGTGTACCTTCATATCCTGAAAATTCCCTTAATATAGTTATCTGATGGTAAATATAAGTACATAATCTGTACCTAATCGTGTGGGCACAGAATAACTTTACTTGCAGCTCTCATGACCTTTACAAAGAAAAGGATAGTCAAATGCAATTCATTGGGTGTATTTCTATTAAAAGTCATGTGCCTGCAACTGTCTGGGTTAGAACATGCCCAGGCTTACTGTAATGCCATTCCAAATTAGGCCATTTTAAATGATACAACAATCATTGCTAGCGCTGCTGCATCATGGGGGCTGTCAGATAGATCCCGGGGCTTTAATGCACTGTTATATGTATATTTATACCATTGCCCATACTTCTTTAATTAGGAGATGGAAATGTTAATCAGAGACAAAGAAGAAAATGCCAACAAAGGCAGATCATGCTTCCGTTCACATCGAGGCGTTCATTGCTGACAAGATACAGCTGCATCAGCCTTTTCTTTTTGAGTTGTATTTGGGTCTGTTAAATCCTATTGATTCATGTCAGTAAAATGTCTAGAGCAGTGTCGTTTTCCAGGGGAGGCAGAGGGGCAAAGTTAGAGGGCTGGGATATGCCTGTCATATATTGAGGAATACTCATGGCACCAAGCAACACTAGATTGGGCAATCTCATGGTTCAGGAAAGAATTTTTGAAAATCTATCTGGTATAGGACAAGCTGGAGATGAATCTTCATGTTTGGCATGGGTCAAAATTACTGGTACTCAGCTGGAGGGAATGAGGGCATTACAGGAGTGAACATCCTTGCAACCCTGTTGGCCAACGTTTCCAAACTGCTGCACAGATTCAGAGGATGGGACTACAGCAAATAATCTGGGTGAAACTTGGCTCAGAACAATGGAGACCGGTCCATCTTCTCTTGGCAGAGTGTGCCCAAGTCATCTGTAGTATGTAATGGCAGGATAAGTCTGAGATTTTGACATTGTTTTTATATTGTTTGCTGTGAAAATGGGGAAGAGTTGGATTGCCATGTCTTGACAGCACATTCGGTCACTGACCTGCAGGCAGGCTTGACCCCAATCCTCAGGCTGAACATCTCTCAACTTCAAGATATATTGGAGAGGGCAGCAAGCATCATAGTTCATGGCTGTTTATGATCTCAAAACTCGACCTTCTTTCCCTCTGTATGCGCAGTATTTAGTATAGTGACATTGGTTGTGATGAAGTGAAGGAAAAGCCCTCAAGAAGGACTTAACAGATCTGCAGTGCTTGCCCCACAAAGCCCCACATTGCCCCTGAATTAGTTCTGATCAAACTGTGATACAATATTATGCAGTCCACCTAAACTGAACCATGCTGAATGGCCATTACAGTCTTTCTTCAAAGAGTCTGTCATGAGGAGGAGAAAGAAGCAATGGAGCACAAGCCAGAAAGTGTGCAAATAGATGTTGACCCAGAAAGCAGCCACCTGTATCACCGTAGAAAACTGAGCCTCCTGTAAACTACAACAAACCACTTCAGAGTACTTTGGTGAGAATAGGTGTGCTCTTAGAAACAGAAAAAAAAAAAAAACCAAAAACAAACATGCTCTAACCCAAGAGACATAGCTTGTTGGCAAATTCCCTGATGCAGTTGCAATTAGGCTAGCAGTGCTTTTGTTGGCCTAGTTTATATCATTGTAAGAGGAGGCAGAATTACCTCAGCAGTAAAAAAGCCTTTGTCGGCACAGCGTTGTGTCTCTACAGGCCTAAATTTCCAGGCAGGTGGGAGGTCAGGGTGGGGTAGTAAGTGGGCAGCAGACATCTGCTCCCACTCCTCCACTGCAGAGAGGGTAAGCAAGGGTTTTTCTGTATTTTGTTGTGGATTCTTCTTGCTTTTGCCTGGCGTTCACAACCATACTGTCAACAAAGTGCCACTAGCAGATGGGTTCATCAAAGAGGGCAGAGTGTCTGCATGGGGCCTTCTGATTGCAGACTCTTGATGTCTTTGACCCATCACATAACATGACTCTCTTCACACTGGGCTGGCCTTCTCCTTAGGGGAGACATTTCTACCCCAGCAATGAAAGCGTCCTCTGGATATAGACACATCCTGCAGGTATATACTCAGAGATGCACTAGTGGCTGTGTGGAATGGAGACAGAGGCTGATCTAAGATGACCTTGTTCGCCTTTGGACTTTCCCAGCCATCCCATTTACCATACTTTTCCCCCAAAAAATTTGCCCTTGTGCTATGAGGATCAGAATGGCCAAAAACAAGGACAAATTTCAAGATTGTGTGGACCAAGCTTCACACTATGGATGCATGCTACAGGGAAAAAAGTTATGGAAGCAACCTGAAAGTAGAGTTGATTATAATTTCATCGTGAAGAATGAACTATAACAACCCTTATTCAGTTCTGAAATTGGGGACCTCCTAAATAACCATACTTCTACTTTCTTAGGGTAGTCCTTCATGACAGTTAAAATAAAAGTTGTTGATTATCTACAGAAGCTTCTACCAAAAGTAGAGCCCAAAGTGTGGTTGCCAAAAAAGGCCATTTTAACCAGAAGTTTACTGTATACAAGTCCTCAATGTGAAGTCTTAAATGAGTCTTTATAGCCCCATATTCATGGTTGGAGGGATAATGCAAACCCCATACTTCAAGGCACCATACATTCATATGGATAGTTATGCATTTCAGGAGAATTTATGCACATAATTATGTTTCTGTGAACCCTACTTGAATTTCCAGCCAGTCTGAGGTTTTTCATGCTTTTATTTTTCTTGTCAAGTGTACAAAGATCATAAGCTTATTTCTCCAGTCTTGAAGAACTTGATGTTATTTTCTTGAATTTAACTGAGTCAAATCTGTAGGTGTTCAGTTATGCCAAATCCCCAGTGAGGTTTAATTTGAACTAATAGTACTAGTTTACCATTTGATATCAAAGCAGAGATCACGAGAAGAGAGCGGTTTTTGCCAAATTTAAAATCCCTAAGAATTGCTAGAATACAGATTTAGAACAAATCTAATCTTTTGAAAGATTTTGTTATATTTATCTTTGTAAAACCATGCTGTTTTGAGCTGCCTCCTATTCCCCAAAGAATCCACACAGTAAAATAGAAAATTGTTTCCAAAGAAGAATAATTATAGCTTGCATAACACAGTCTTGCATTCAATTACAAAGTCAAATAAACCAATCAGGACATCTTGCTTGCACAAACAATGTCTGAGTTCATTTTGTTCTGAATTTGAAAGTCCAAGAGATTTTACCAAACTTAAATAATCTTTTTCCCCACTCCCTCCTGCTAAATAGATAGCCCAATATTCAATTCTGAAGTTTTGACTAGAGAAAAAGAAGATAGTAAAACTATCATGGGTTTTTCCTTGCATTTATCTGTGATTTCTCCAATCACTAGTTAAGTGTCTGCAGTTAGAGATAAAATGTGTGGTAGACCCTCCTTCTTCAGATCCAAGGTATGATGTGATGTGAGAAGCGATCTGAGAATAGTTTCCTCAATTTTCCTCACTTTGGGATTCCTAGACTTGCCTTTTCCTCACTGCTGCCTGGGAAACGAATTTCCCCACTGCCTGCCTGAGAAGCAAAATCTGACTATTTCCAGATAACTGAACCTCCCTGAGGTCAGCAGAAGTAGCTTCACCCCTCCAGAAGTTACCTGCACTTATTTTCAAGTAGGAAAGTACCAAGATATTTTCTTGGGTGTTGTCATTTCAAGGAAGGTGAAACGTTGGCTTCTTGCACAGTCATGTTGGAATCCTGTAACGCAATTTACCATGAAGATAATCTAATCTGGGTTAAAAACAACTTCTATTTGGAGTGATGATGAACACTTACCTCTTGTGTCTGGAGAACAAGCACTATCTTCTGCAGATTCCAGGATCATTCACAAGGCAGGATAAAACTCCATTTACGCTTTCTCCTCCCTTTCTGTGAAGGTAAAAGACCACAGGCATCAGAATTATGCTAATCCTTCCATCCTGGCAAGTCAATGTAAAGACCAGATTCAGTTTACTGATAAAGATATCCAGGGTAGGTATTTGTACAGAGGCATTTTCATGTGAGTTGTGTCGCCAGTGGAGATCTGGTTAATACAGTTAACAAAGTCAATACAGTCTTGGTAGAGATCCAACTAGTTATATGCAGGTACCTGATGTAGGCAGGCTCCTGTCTGTCTCATGTAGTTCTGTCACTCTCCAAACTATTGACTGTGTTGACTAGATACTTGATTCAATTTTCTAAATACAGATGTGTAGGGAATTAATTGTGTGCCAGAAGTACTGATTTTGTCCATTGTAAAGGAAACCTCAGTGCCTAGCTCAGGTGACTTTTACCCAGAAGGGATCTACGGCTGATTGGTTTGATGAGCTCCATCAAAGGATAGCACAGTGAAAAGTGCGACAGAGGAACCTCTTTAGAGTAAGCTATCTCTAGTCTATAACTCTGACAAAAATGGAAGACACAGATAGCTGCTTATCCGACTCTTTTGAAATTGATAGCAAGAGTTTTATCTTCATTCGGAAATTCAATCAGCCTATTTTTTCTATGTCTCTAAATATTTGGGGATAGCCATCTGTCAGTTTTCTCAGCTGTTTGCTCTTCCTTAAAATCCTAGAAAAAAAATGGGTTTTGAATATTCCCAAGGAATTATAGGGAATGTGCTCATGAGAAGTGAGCATGAACTGAGAATTTTTGCTGGCACTTGTTTTCCATTTTGGATAGTTCTGTGGAATGTTTTCATCTTGTTTTTCATCTCCCAGTCGAAAAAATTAAGGCAAAACTCAACCCAAGTAAGGCCCAGACACTGTAGACACAAGTGATGCAGTACCCTTCCAAATGCATCCGGCTGTCTTGGTCATCCCAAACACACCTTGTGTGTAAGCTGGGACACAAAGCTTGCATGTATCATCTGGGTCATTTTTGTGAGACCCCAAAAGCACAAGATCATGGCCTGGGCAACCAGAGAAACAAGACTGCAGGGCACACAACATGTCCCTACAGCATCAGCACAGCTAGAGATCTCTCCCAAACTCACTCATGATCCTCTTTGAGGCCCCAACAGCGTTCAGAGCTGGTCAGCAGGTGGATTAATCCAAAGTTCTTCATATCACCAGAGAGTTTTGTGGGCACAAGTCAGATAGCCAAGGAAAGGAGGAAGGGAGTACAACTTATTGAATAGAGATACCTTAATAACCTAACATTTTTGGCTCTCATTCTTGTAAGGCAGCTGAAAAATCAAGGTAAGTTAGCTGTGTAAATTCTAAAGAAATCCTTTCTCACAGGGAGTTTGTTGATGGAGAGCTGTGGCCACCTTTGGTTATTGCTGCAAGGCACCTATGGACTTGAGAAAGATTCAGCTAAAGCCAGCAATGCCAAGGAGAGTTAATGCAGGACAAGCCCTTGTCAATCAATTGTCGTTTCTCCACTGAAATTTTACATGGAGGCTTTGCTTCACCATAGTATAGCTGGTGATTGAAGTATAGAGCAGGAATTTATTTCACTTGGGCTTGACTTGAGAATAAATTACCTTAGGGCTGACACGGAAATGCAGTTGGGTACAGCATGTCCTTCTTAGTTGCCCCTTCACTTTTCAGATAAGACTCATAAAGGAATAATAAACAATAACAAGCCTCATAACACCCCCCACCACCACACACCTGATCCCCAGGGCACGTGGTGCTCTCACTTGGCTCCTACCCCAAAAAAGAGATGTCTGCAGTGAGTTACAACAGCTTTAGTCATTGCCTGTTCTGCCCTTTAGTCATTGCTGCTTGATGTTATCTGAGTGTGAGGACAAGGATGGACAACTTTTTCTTGTGGGGAGAAAAGTATCAGAGATGTTATGAAGTGTATTCGCAGCACTTCCTTTCTCCGCAGGGGATGGAATGATCTCAAAATTCACGTTTTCCCTTTTTTTTTTTTTTTTTTCTGGTTCTTTATGAGGTTGCTAAGCCTTGCTGGAGGAGATTAAAAAGATTCTGGACTGGAAACACCTCAGTCTTTTGCAGACTCATGGCTGCTTCAAAACTGTCGCTGTGCTTGGGCCATGGCTCTACTCATCTATCAACAGCACAAAGCACGTGTCAGCTTTTCCCATGAGTGCAGTGAAGCTCTCTTCCCTCAGCCTGGCCTCAACTTGTTTGAGGTCAGATTAAAAGCTACATAAGCCTCGTGCTGCCTCAGTAATGCATCGCCATGGGCTGATGACACTAGCCATGGGCTAGTGTTGCCAGCTACATACTCCTGAGCAAGATGCTTGTCTCATTTCTTCAAGAAAGTTCTACATTACCGAGTTTGTCTGGTTTCCCAGGGTAGTGAGATTTATACCTCTGGGCTTTCTGTGTCTGCATGAGTGTGAGAAAGGGAGTGCTTCCACCCCAATAGCTTTGGACCCTGAAGACGTTTTAAACTAAATTTGACAGGATGGTAAAGACTACAAAAGCATTCAGTTCTTAGATATTTCATGATACTAGGTGACCAGGTCAAAAAGACAGAATCTAATAATATATCCATTGGTGGAAGGACCATGCTGTGAACTCATCCCTTGACAGGCAGAAAAATACTGATACAGAAAATCCAAATGTGAGCTGCAAATCAACAAATCTGAGTAAATTCTGTCATGCAGGAACAGCTGGTTTATCCCTGGCTAGAATTAAATGGGCTTAGAAAGGCTAAATTAAATGAACTTTCCCTTTACTCCACTCAGCTTAGGATTCACTAAAGCCAGAGATGGTCTCATACTTTCATAGATTGCTTTTCACAGTAGTCTACTGTTTTTGGGCTAGAGCTGGTCAGTCCTACAGAAATGCTGCTGGTGCATTTGTGATGGAAAAGAAATGTTATTAAAAATGGTTTATGCAATCTGCGTCTCTATCAATTTTAGGAATCTATGCAATGCTTCACAATTTATACAAATAATTTACACAATTACACAGTGTTTATTTATTGGGCCAATTTAAGGAAGAAATATTGAAATTTTGAAAATTCCTTCTTTTACTACTGTGAAGAGATGAAGAATTATCTCCATCCTGCTTGAGATGTGAGAGAAAACACATGGAAAATTGCTAGTAGCAGGCTTGGAAAAATATGCTAAAGTAATGTGTGGAGTCCTCATGATAAGGTAGAGGAGGCAGGAAGTATGTATAAGCTAGTAAGTTCTACTGGATTTCAACAGTTCCATGGGAAAGCCTGATGAAGCAGCAGATTGGTTCAGAGACCAAGGAGGATACTGGAGTAGGAATGATTTTGACTCTTTGAGATAACAGCTTCCCAATATTCTCATCAGCTGCAGAAGAAGAGTTGGGACATTCTGCTGTAAATTATATTTTCCACCCAGGGTTATTTTTTAAAAAAGGGAAAATCAAGTTTCTTTGGGGGCTGTCAGGATATTCATTCCCCGGTAGATTCTGGAGGACCACTGAGAAATGCAGCTTGCTGCTTCACTGCTGAGGATTCTGCTTGTTCTCTTTCTTCTGCTAGGCTGACCAAAGAGAGAGTTAAGTGACTGTGGGTAGCTAGAACACCGCAGCTACCTAACTAGCAGGATTCCAGAGTTTATAAAGACTTGTGGCATCAAAGTTGCAGGCTAGTGAAGTCATTTAATAGGCAAAAATATATGGAATCCTTGGAATTTAATAAAGTGCTTGGGCTGTCCTGGTGGATAGCAGAGAGTAAAGCAACTTCTCCAGGAGATCAGTGGTCTGAAGAATAGATCCATCCATCTCTGGAGAGGTGCAAATATTTCTATATGTGATTTAAGAATTTGTGTGCTACATCAAGGAGGGTGAAATGGAGTTACAACTTCACTAGTAACTCTCTGATAAATGTGGTCCTTGGAAAAAAAGGAAAATGTTCCTCATCCTGGCATTTATTGAATACTTCTTATCCTTGATTCGTTATATTCTTTGTCCATCTCTTCCCTTTGGGCATCAATCTTCTCTCTAGACAAGTTTGCCCTACGAATTGACCACCAAAACCATCAAACCTCTTTTCTGGGCTCTCCTGTGTGCAAAGGGACATTGCTGAGCATGTGGCTCCATCTACTGCCATGAAAATGTCAGTCAATGACTAACTAATATTAGCTTTAATATGGATGTATTTAGAATGATGCAGAGCATCAAAGCAGCCAGCAGAAGAGATTCCAACAGCAGAAAAGCCAGGAGAAAAATCTCTCCTAGCGATTTGAAACAGGCTTGACTTCTCTTTTTAAAGATTAAAGAGATTCTTAGATGGTTTAAATCAACTATCTGATGCTTTTTATGTCTGGATCCTCATTTCTAAGCTCCTTTTTGCATGGGAAAGGTGTTGCTGAAACTCCAGTCACAGTTGCACATCACTCTTCCAGGAGCAATGTCCAGGAAAAGCAAGGCATGCTTTGAACAAGAGTTATTCAGTGGCAGGGAAAGGGGCTTATGATCTAGTTCTCCTACTTGTGAAAGACACCTCAAAAATATCAGACATTTGCTGGAAGTCCAAGGCTTTATCTCATTCTCTGCAACACGCAGGAGAATGTGACCACTGATTTCAGCAGCAGTGGGACTCCTAAGGGATGCATGTTCGATTCAGTTCTGGTCACTGATAATACTTGTATTGATTGCAACAAAAGCAGAAGCCATTCTAATTTTGCAGAATCCAGGGATAGTACTCTGGTCACAAGAGACAATGACAGTCTTTCTATTGACTTCACGGGGCACAGGGTATGGCTATGAAAGCTGGTCTTGTGTTGCACAGAAAGGGAAGGACTTTGGGAATGCATAGCTGCAGGGATTAATAATGAACAAAGAGCCTTTAGCTTCTAGGTCATTGCTCCAAACCCCTGCCAAGCTGCTGGTGAGTGAATACTTTTGCCATCTGTGCAGTGGCAGCTGACAAATGAGTTTGATAGTTCTCACCTCGCTCCTGGATGGAAAACGTACATACCATTTTGGAGTTGGTGCCTCTTCTTGCTTCAGCAGAGAAGTTGAGGGTGAAGAGGGATCTTGTGGGACTGATCCCTTCCCCTCTGTGTAGGACCTGTTGGCAGGGAGAACAACAGTAT